GCAGAAAGTCGAGGGGTGGGGAAAAGAAGAGCGATTCACATATGACATACAGAGGGATGATGGTAGTCTGAAGTCAGAAGTCAAATGCCGGTTAATAGACTTTTTGTCGTATGAGTATACGTTGCCAAGAGTGCACCACGTGGAGGTAAGTCCATCGCACATCCCATCTTTTAAACTGGATCAATGCGAGTGTACACTTGCTCCGCAAACAAACAAACTTAAAATATATGATATCAAGTAGTAGAAAATGAATGCGAAATTCAGCTTTTGAAAATCGTCTGCTCTAATTTTGCACTGCATGCTTTGACAGTCAACTTCACACCAAAAGTTCGCAAAACTCCTATTGAGCGCTTTCAGAAACTGTTCTCGATTTTACCACCAGGTTACTAAAAGTACATAAAGAGGAATAAACACGTTGGTTTGTGACTAGTAATTTTGAGAGTCTTATAGAAAGTCTTAGGGACATTGTAAAAACAAAAAAATATATTTAGGTGTAAGAACCTTCTGCGTCACATCGATTCCTGGGAAGCGCGTTCTACTTTAATTGCCTTGAAAAAATTCACGTACACTTGGGTTTGTGCGCCCAGGGAAAAATAGTAGAGAATCCCATTTTTTTTGCCCGTTGTTGGCCATTCGCGGCATATCAAAGCGTAAGACTTTTGGCGCAGTTAATGTGTTTCTAAGGGCGGATGTAGAAGGTAAGATCAGAAGATAAGTGATCCCTCACCTACTACTCCCTCTTCCCATTAGAAAGAGGACAAATTGCAACCCAATGTCCGTCCCACACTCGCTGCGGTTGCATGTGTTTCTGCTGCTGTTTATGCCCGCAATCTGTCATAAATTTTCCAGACCAGTAAAGCCCACATATCATTTAACTTTTAACTCATAGTTGCGGCCTCCCCCCTCCCCCCTTCGGATCTGCATGGAACTATTTTTCGCCTGTCGCTTGGAATAAGCATAACTAAGAGGTGGAGGGTTTGATCAATAAGAGTTTTCACTACAAGTGTACTACTCTTCTACGCCAAAGAGGACTAGTGGGCACAAAGTTCTTTTAGATTACCAAAAATAAACACTATTTGAGAAAACATCTCACCAAAACTTCGAAGGTGTTCAACTTCAAATTATTGTTTAAGAGGAATTAGCTATATACATCATATTAGAGTTTATTTGGTTGGACCTCCTGATGTTATTCCAGTTACTATTTTCATTTTATTAATTACTTACTGATTTTATTTGTCATAATCTCCGTTTGGGGGATGAAAAGTTGAAGTATGCAAAGGCACATCAACAATACTCCATTATTAGTCATACGCAATTAATTATTTTCGCAGACAATAATAGGTACTTTTCCCTATAATTATGCGTAATACGGTGTGAACGGCAGTATATACAACTATCTAAGGATAGTCACCATTTAGCCCTAGCCTTTGCAAAAAAATCGTCTTGATCCTTGATTATCACTTCTCTAATGTCAACTTTAAATCCCATTAAACCTAGGTCTTTACCATTCTTGCTAAGTTTAAAAAGTCTGTCTAGTCCATTTGAGCAATCGTCATGACCAAGATGCGATTACGAATTTAAAACACCGCAATTCACGGGAGTTAACTCAAGGCGTTAACATTACCTTGAATAGTCAAGAAAATCAGATATTTTAATTGCTTAAATTTCCTGCTAAATTGGACTAAATTCGTGTAAAATACTGGAGTTTATCATTTTATTGGTTGTGTGAGATTTTTTGATGAGTTTTTTTTCAATGTTTGCTTTACTAAGATGGTTTCTATTATTGTAAGTTCAAATACCTAGTCACAAATACACCTTCACATAATGAAATTATCTGAAATTTGATCAGAAACTTTACGTTGAAGTCATTTCTAACTTTCCAGACAATTAAATTTGCGAAAACAAATGTTTAAAGCATAGAATTTCTTGTCATTGTTAAATGGTGAATAGTAACAGAATAATAGATAGTCCTGACCACAGAATGCATAGATTTGTCCCCCGGACAATATATAATGAAAATTAATAAGTGAAAACAGTGGGTGGAGTCGTGGGGAGAAGAATAAAGAAAACAATTGTATGGGAAAGTAGACGTTGCAGGGGAGAAAGGAGACGTTGGTTTTTCGGAGGATGGGAAAAACAAGAAAACAAAGTGCAAAACACCGTTTTTCCTGCATACTATTTATTAGCGTGCCAATGCCTACGACCATTTGCACACCTTAATTGCATGAATGGAATCTCAGTTCACTTGAATGAAATGGAGGAGCAAAATTGCGCTACAGTATGAAGGGAATCGGAGAACGGATGGATTTAGGATAATATCATGAATGATGTGATGTTTGTGGGAGTGTGCTTGTGAATGGGATATACCCTTGACCCGAGTAATTTAGTCTCTAGCTATGAAGCCCGGATATCAGTGGTTCATTTGCTGATAGCCCATTCGTTGTTGATAGTGTTGATAATAGGGATGTTGGGTGTGGACACTTAGCGGCATATCATTAACTGGCTGCTGCAGCTCTTTAGAATTAGGGTTTGATGGTGGCGCATTAGAGGGATGCTGCTGTTGCTGAGCACCGGCCTCGTTTCTTTTACGCCTTAGCTCCCGACGACGTCTCCGCTCTTCTTTAGAAAGATTTGAACCGTTTCGTCGAGACTGAGATTGCTGGTACTGTTTCTTCTGTTGTTGGGAAACTTGAGCACCATTTGCTACAGTTCTACCAGCGACCGTTCTCGGGTGAACCGTAGGACTTGAACGCGTCAGGTCAACTTTACAAAGGCTATCCGGTTGGCGACGCATTTCCTTGATCGCTCGTTTAATTCCTATATTTTGTCTTGATGGCTGGGATAAATGTAAAACCTAAAACACAAAAACACCAAGTGTTTTAAGTGGACCATATCTGTAACTGGGGCACACATAAACCTAAAATCCTACCGTGACACTTCTTCCATCCTCATTCAATTTTCCCATTAAGAGCCACCTCCCAGGTCCTTTTGATCTAGTCATGGCCGCTTTGATGACTGGACAATCACAGGTCATTCGAAACTCCAGATTCGCTTCCTGATTCACATTTTTGGGCATTTTAAAAGCTCCACCACGACCATCAGTTCGAATTCTATAAGTCGCGTTCTGTCCACTTGACGATGGCAACCGTATTAGGTCCAAAACCTTAGTTCTAATGACTTTAAAACAAAGGGTGCAAATATGAAAATCACCATTTAAAACGAGTTAAAATTCATAAATAAATGAGATTTGAATGACGCTAAATAATATACCGAACTTTGCTGAGAAACAAGAAAGTAATTTCTTTTGAAATTAGTTATTGCTAATGACAGAATTTCTCGTATTTTATTTTCATTCAAATAATTATATATACAAAAAATGTAAGATTGACAACGTTCTGACAATTATTCAAATAAAGAGCAATGTGATGTGTAGCATTTCAATCTTTTTTTAAATGACAGGATTATGCTATTCTTGCTTTAGCTAGATTACGATTATATTTTTTAAAAATGCCTATAACTGAAATTGATGTCTTTAAACATTTTAAGAAGGCCAAACAGGTGTAATGGGGAGATAAGGGGTAGAAGAAGGTCTTACCGACATCGGCTGTGCAAAAGCTCCCGATCGCACTTTCGTAGGTGGGTTTATCAACACATCCAGAGCAACGAGTTTCTACAACATTGGAATTTATGAATGTGTGTGTGAGAGAGGCAGGGGGAGAGAGAGGGAGAGTGAGAGGGTGTTGTCCAAATAGTAGACAAGCGTTTGAATGGCAAATTATTGCCATATTTCATGCAAACTACAAACATCTAACTAACACGCACTTGTGTTTTAACACAATCATTTTTGGATGGAACGAGGAAAGCACAAATTCAAAAATGAGGTAAAAAGTGCTCATCAATTAATTCGTTTCTACTGAAATTGTCACTTGTACTATATTTATTAAATATATTTATAGTGGCACATCTGAATAAATGTACACAAAATTGAAGCCAAAATAATCCCCTAATTAAAAAGTGCAAAAACAAGTCCAATGCATTTCAACTTTTGAACTTAGTTAACTATAGTTTGTTGGTTCTATTTCAGCATGTTATCGTTCATTTAAAATTACCTGACAGAGTAAATCACCAGTAATCTTTCGATAGGTGCGATGATGATATTTAGACACTATCATACTTTGCAATGGAGAAAATACAGGGAAAATTCATTCAATAAGTCAGGGTAGTAGAGATATGGTGGAAATCGTGATGGCTAGCAACAGTCGCATCTAAATTGACATACGTCAAAGCCCATTGTAGACGAAATACAGCAATTTTCTTGATGAAGGAATCAGCGTTTGGGCTTTATCAAACGAAAACTGAAGTGAATTCAGATTTCTACCAAATTTCAACGAAGTACATCTGGAAACATATCATATTGCAATTGGTCACAGTTGAGTGACTTAAATTTGAGAGATTTGAAATCCATGTTTGCACTTTAACCGACATATCCTACCATTAGTTACAAAAAAATAAAATTTTACAGAGCATTCTGTGAAAGCGAATTGTCTGTGTGCATAGGAATTTGGTAGAGAGATAGAGAGAGAGAGGCTTCAAGGTACGTAAACTATATTCAGCATACTGTATTGAAAGGAAATTAAGTAATTGATATTGAAAAGCGAACATTTAATATTTTGTTTAACTCCATCGGATTATCACCACGAAAGATTATTCCACTGTCTGAATTTTGGAAGGAAAGCTAATAGGACTTTTCAAGACAGACCATCCGCTGAATATGCACTGAATATCGTGGACTCGAGTGACTCAGTAATTCAGGCAAAAAGTAATGATATTTAAATTGTAAAAGCAAATTACCTCACAAGGAAGATTCGAACAACCCGTATCCGAAGGCCAAATAAAGTAAAATAGGTTGAAACTAGAAGCTTATCGATTTCAAAATTAATTTTTGAATTTATTGTGTAGGGCTTTGAGCAACTTTGCGCAATGAAATTCTGTGAATATTTAGAATTTATGTGGGTTTCAAAAAAGCAATAATATTTTCAGCTAAAACACGCAAAACTTGAACACGATTACATTTCAGTTCATTTGGCTTGAAATGGCAGTCTAATTTATTATTTAATTATTAACCTCAAACGCCAAACAATAAAAAAGGAGTTGTTGCTTGACATCTCTTTGATGGATGTGACAACTGCGGCGGAGCAGTGCGTGGACTTTTGAACAATACATACCTTTAGATTCCTCCTTAGCTGAAGTTCGTTATTTGATGTGCTTTACCAACGCACTGTTGCTAGCATCAAGTTAAGGGCAGGAACATACTAGCCGATTTACAATCTTTCCCAAATGAAAAATGAACAACTTTGTGCAAATGTGCACCCTTCCAATGCCACGAATCAGCCATTCGAATATCGGTGGTCATAAATAACTCGAGTAATCCAGAGGGGGGAAGGAGAGATAGTTAATTTTACATTCCGAAGCCTCTAAATTGAGATTTGCGGAGTTTAGTACATTCTTGTGTCGGCGTTTCGACGGGGAAAAATGCTCTGGGTTAAATTTTAGCAAAGCAGACAAAAAGGCGGTTAAGTCACCACCAAATAGCGATTGGAGGGAGAGAGGACGGACATGCACAGTACAATAAAGGAGAGAAAACAAAAGAGAATAAGCTTCAAGCAAAGCACTACTATTTCGGCCGGCCTAGTAATCACCTGGTTTCAAAACAACCGTTTTGTCTGCGCGAAGAAAGATGCATAATTGGATTAGTTTATCAAAATATTGAACACCAAATTCAAGCACCTATATTTGTCAAAAATTAAATTATCTTTTGGGAATAGTCAACGGGTATTAAGCTCTTTCCAACCCTACTAAGGCAATATAGTACAAATTATGTTAAAATTAATGAAATTGACTTAATGAGGAAAATATTTAATTATAGGTGTCATTTAACGTGCATTTTAATTTCACTGAATTTGTCCACTAAGATGATAACCTTGCATAATAAACCAATTTCAAATAACAGAACTACTATCGTTTGCTAACTTAATTTACCAATATTAATTTCGTCTTTACGCATCCTCTTTTGAATAAATACAGAAATCAGAAACAATTATTCCTCAAGAATGAGAACTTACTCCTTTGCTTGTTAGGAGGAATGCACAACTCTTGAGGGGCTTGAGGAAATTTTGAGCATTTGACAATATCGGGCCAACCAAGTCCGAACGTTGTCATTGTGGGCAGACATGCGGCCCTAACACTCTCACAGAGTTCTCTGCATGGTTGAATTAACTTCTCGTGATAGCCTCTAATGCATACTGGTGCGTAGAGAGAACAGAGAAATCTCTCCAGTTCATCATGACAACCTAAGTTAACCAAAGTTAACCAGACTTCTGACTGAGTTATCACTTCATCCATCGCCTCATGCTCCAGGCTGTTCGGTAATACCATGAGATCGTACCCAATGTTGTGACACAACTTCAATTCCTTCGGTATCTTGTAGCAGCGCTGAGAACCATAACCACTCACTAGTCGATTCCAGTCAGAGAAGTAAGGAGACTGAGGAGGTTCATTTGAGATCATATCAGCATCTGCTGTAGTTAATCGGCCAAAAGCTCCTCCTCCAAAGGGAGCTGTGGTTACAGCTGTCTTATTAACTCTATTCCAGTCCCAACGACCAACAGAATTACCCCCAGTAGTTACTGAAAAGACGATTAGGAGCAGGAGGTAAAGCATGATAAAGAAAAACAGGATGCAAAACTGTTCTGTCGAAGAGATTTGCGTTTAAGACTACACCTTTTATAGGAGGCCAACGTGCGGCATGCAACTTCTCAGATAGGCACGCCTCGAAACGTTTGCTGATTGGTGGAGGGAGGTGCGGTGGTACATTAGGAAGTGGATAACGTGCGGGGGAAACGCTCGATGTGACTGACAGTTACAGTACGGAGGTGTATTGGAGTTC